TGGCTCTGGCACCCTCAGCACCCTCAATCCCAAAATCCTCCCGAAACCCAGTTCCAGCACCGCCACCCCCCCGCCACACTGAATCCCAGCCCCACACGCCCACTAAGAGCCACTAAGGTTTCGTTATAATTTTTTTGTTATAATTTTTTCCATTTTCTTATGTTTTTTTTTTTCCCTATCCTTTTTTCCTCCCTTTCCACCTGGTGCACCAGTGTTTCCACGCCATTGGCTCGGAGCGGTTTCCAGCCGGGAGAACACCGTAATGGCCTCATTATTTCCGATGAGGAATCTGTGTGTTCAATTAGGCAGAGAAGGGTAATTATCTACTTGGAGAAGATCAGGGAAGGAGGGGGTGTGTCTTAGCAGGGACCAGCACAGCTCCCAGCTGAGCCCCTGGATGCTCCAGCCCCATGTGTCACCGCCGGCTGAGCTGAGGGGACACGGAGGCCCCCGGGATAATCCCCCCCATGCCTTCCTTGTGCTCCCAACCCCACTTGGCTGGGATCTTCCCCGCTTTACACCCCCAGAGCCACCTAAAAGCCTCATGCCCCACACCTGCAGCCTCCAGAGTGTCCAGCTGCTCGCTGATGCTCAGTTTAATGAGTAATTAACCTTTTTCCTTAGTAATTAACCAGGCAGCATTCCTGGCACAGACAAGTCTTGGCTCACAGTGGCCAAATCCAAAAGTCATCTCCAAACTCCTTTTGGTGCACAAACCCTTGGGGTGATGCTCTCCCCCAAAACTCACCCCTAAGCGCGTGCACCAAGCTTTCTCTTTAGTACTGCTTTTTTCCCCCTCAGTTATATTTGTTATTCTTCCCTTTTTTTTACTTCATGGGATATTTTTCCAACCAAACCATTCCCTGGCTCTCCCTCCCTAGCAGCAGCAGGATGAGAGTCCCTCTGTGCATGGACAAACGCTTCCCCAGCCTCCACTTGACCCCTTTCCACCACCTCGTGTCCAAAGAGGCTAAGTGGGACCTGAACTCTGGCTTTGCCACACCTTCACACAGCTTTCAAGTGCCCACTGGAAAATCCCAGTGCAAGGAGCAGCATCTCCCTGGAGTCCTGTCCTGGACAGCTGGGTGCAGCCCCGGCAAGGCCCAGCTTTCCCTTGGGAACCACCCCCCCCTCCACAGCCCAGCTAGGGAAGGTGCCCGTGTTGCCCATGGCACACGGCAGCCCAGACCCATCACCAGGCAAACACTGCTGGAGCACCTGGCATTTCCCAAGCCACGCTCCCCCTGTGCCATCCCCATCCTAGAGGCACCTCCCCACCTCCTATAGGCCCTGCTCTCCCCCAAAGCCCAGTGCCCCGTGAGCCAGAGCTGGGCATCCTCCTCGCTTCCACAGCAAACCCTGTGGCTTCCCCTGGGAGCATCCCAAGGGGCTAGCTGGGATGCAGGACACGTAGGGACGAGGTGGGGAGAGCAGGGATAGGCACCTGCCAGGTTCAGCCCCTGCAAACACCCCGGCACTGCTGTGCACCCTCCCTGCAGGAAGAGCTCAGCTCCCCCTGCGACATCCAGAGGGACCCCGATCCATGGTTTCCCAGCTAGCCATCCACAGGGATGGTGATCCCACGCCATTTCCCCCACCTGCCCGAGGCTGCTGATCCCGACAGAGGCCAGATAGGGCCCTACCAAACACTGGAATAACAGCAGGGACATGGGATAACCGTAGGGACACGGAGTAGCAGCTTGGGGACTGCAGCCCCTCTGGATAACTGTGGGAACACGGAGCAGTGGCTCGAAGATAACAACGGGAACACAGGGCAGCCCCTAGGGACAAGCCCTCGGGCACAGCCACAGGGATAACACTGGGAACACGGGGCTGGGATAACGGGATAACCCCTCGGGGACAGCCGCGGGGACAAAGGGCACACTTTATCCCTTTCCCACCAAGGAGGACCCCGCGGGGAGACGGGACCCGGCAGCCCCTGGTACTCCCCCCTCCCTCGGAGGCGACGTTCAGCCGCCTCATTTCCTGCCTCGCTCACTCGCATTATCCTGATTTCCCGATTTTAACATAAAGGCCCAAAAATTTGCAGGATCATCCTCTTGCTCCGGTCGGAAACTTTGGGTTTTCCAGCCGAGAGGCTTCCACAGCCCCCGGGGGCCGCTCCGACCCACTCGGGAAAGCCTTTTTCTCCCTCAATAGCCACTAAATACCATTTCCTTCCCATTTTTGGAGGGACAAAACAGGCTAGACGAGGTCAGTCCCCCCAGGAACGCTATGGCTCAAATTTGGCCCGGCAAATATTCCCTGCCGCTTTGTGCTTCCCGAGCAGCCCCCGGGGGTCTGCGAAGGGAAAACCGGGAGCAACTGGGCACGAAGCCGAACCGTGGGGCACCTGCCCCTCCGGCTCATCCCTGCGGAGCATCCCGGAATCCATCCCGGCGCTGGCCAAGGGCGGGAGAGGGGAGAAATTCTTTTTTTTTTTTTTCCTGAAATAGAGAAGCACCAGCTGAAAAAGTGTTGGGATGGGATGGGGAGGGTTGGAAAGGGATAGGAACATTGGGAAGGAAGGGATTACCCCTTCCAGCAGCGATGAGCGGCTATAAATGGCCTCTTTGTCATCGCAGCCAAGGCAGCGGGTGGAAAAATGAGGACGGAGCCGCTCGAGGGAGGACAATGTACCCCTGGCCAGTTTGGGGGCCCTCCTGGGTCTCTCCTTCTCCCGCAAGTGCAATGCTGGGGCTCGGAGCCCACGGAGGGGTCCCGCTCACCCCAAACCTACCGGGCTGATGTGGGACATTAAGCCAGCGCTGAGAACAGGGCGTCCAAGTCTTGAGGGGGTGCTCTGGGACCCCGGCGTGGCGGGGGATTCCACCAGCCTTTGGGTAGAGCCCCTAAAACCCCAAGTGCTCCGTGAGCTCAGTGTGCTGGGGGACCCCCACCACCCTCTGGGGACTTGCAAGCCCAAAGTGCTCTGAGAGCCCAGTGTGGCGGGGGGCACCCACCGCCCCATGGGGACCGCCGATCCCCCCCGAGGCCCCGCTCCGAGAGCCCCCCGGTTCGCGGGGACCCTCCCGTTACCTCTGCCGTAGGCGAAGGGGAGGCGCAGGGCGCGGCCCTGGCGCACCAGGCTGATGTGCAGGTAGGTGAACCAGGCGGCCGAGGTGAGCAGCGCCAGCAGCAGCAGCAGCTTCAGCTGCTTGCGGAGCTTCTTCACCGGGAGCCGCGGCATCCTGCCGCCCGCATCGCCCCCGCCGCCGCCACCGCCGGGCTAACCCCGGCCCATGGGGCCCCCCGCCCGCCCAGCGCGCGCGCTCCAGGCGGGCCGCAAGGGCCGCGGGGCGGCTGCGGCTGCCGGGGCCGGGGGTCGGTGCGGGGCTCGGCGGCCCCGAGCGCGGCCGTGCATCGCCCCACCCGCGCCGCGCCCGCGGGGGGAATGAATGAGCGGGGCATCGCGCGGCCACGCCCCCGGCGCCCGAGCGACAGCGCCGCCGGCCAATCGCCGCGCCCCGCCGCGGCCCGCCGCCAATGGGCGCCCCGCGGGGGCGGGGCCTGCGGAAGCGCCGCGCGTCTCCAAGCCAACGGTCGGCAGCCCCCCGGGGCGCCGCGGGCCGGGCCATGAGGGGAGCGCGGGGGCGGGGCGGACCGGGTACCCCATGACCGCGTATCCCGGCCCCGTTCCCGGCTCTGTCCTCGGCCCTGCGCGGCGGCGAGGCGGAAGCGAACGGGATCTCCATGCCGCGGGGCCTGAGGGGTCTGCGCGATTGATGACGCGGGGCTTCGGCGGGGCCGCCCCCGGAGCCCTCCCCCCCACAGCGGGGATGGTGCGTTCCACGGCGGCGGGGGCTGCAGTGCCCGGCCCTGTCCACAGGAGGGCGCGATTCCCGCTCACCAGTGCGGGGTCCGCCGCTGGATGCGGGATCCTACGGGATGGGGTGCGGGGATATCCCGGATCAGCCCCCGCGCTGGGTGCGGGAATCCTGTAGAGATGGGTTCAGGGATCGCTGGGGTCCCCTCGATGGGTGCGGGGATCCCGCGAGGAGCAGAATCCCCAGGATCCTCTACACTGGGTGCCCGGACCGTAGCGATCCCCCTCGCTGGGTGCAGGGATTCCAAGGGTGCTGGGATCCCCAGGACCCCCCTCGCGGGCTGCCGAGACTCCGGGGGTCACAGCCCTGTGCCCCCCCCCAGCCGCCTGTGCTCGGCCGAGCTGAGACCGGCCACCACTCACTGCACCGATGTGCCGGCTGGTTCTTCCCTCCGCAGCGCAGCGGTGAAAACAATGGAATTTTTCCCCTCGTCTCCCATTCCACAGACTGAGGCAGCGGCTCCTCCTCTCTGTAATTAGTTATTACAGGGGAAAATACACTCACGGCTGGGAAAACTAGAGGGCAGCCCAGGGCCGCGCTTCTCAGAAACCAAATCCCTGCTTGCAGGACTGGGCTGTCCTTGTTTGGTTTAAGTACAAACATTCACGGACTTGCCAGTAAAATGTTATTGCCTCCTTACAGGATGGTGTATCCTGCGGATTCAGGCGCATTAACGCAGTTCAAACACTCTCACACCGTAAAGGATGTTGGTGCAACAGCTGGGGAGAGGGATTCCAGTGAGGGGAAACTCCAGGGGCCGTGGAGCTGCATCCCAAGAATCCAAAGTGAGGCAGCAGGCGGCTGGGGGTGTCAGAGGGGGGCCCGGTGCTGTGTGGAGGGGACCCGGTTTAGGGTCTGTTATTCACACACTCCAAAACGCTCAGAGTTGTCCCCAGGTGGCCATCTGGGAGAGGACAAGGACGGGGACAAAATAGGGACGAGGAAAGAGGAGGAGCAAAGAAGAGGGTACAGAAAGAAGGGAAAAGAATGGGGTAAAGGTTGGACAGAAGGAAAGGGGGCAAAAAACGGGACGGGAATCGAGAAGGACAGAAAGAACAGGGTAAGGGAGAAAGGGGGCAAGGAACAGGTAAAGATGGAGACAAGGAAAGAGGGAGGCACATGAAGGGGCAAAGAAAGTAGAGGGGAAAGGAGTAAGGAAAGGGGCAAAGAAGGGAACAAGGAAAGAGGTATTGAACAGGGATAAAGAAGGGGACGAGGAAAACGCGTCCAGGATTCTTCCCGCCCTTACTGGGACATCCGGAGGGGCGGCCTTTTCCCACCAAATCCTCAGCCTCGAGGAAACGAAACAGCCTCCTGTGAGACTGCCCTCCCCCAGTGCCACCTCCTCCTCAACCACACGGTTTCCCCTGTGCCGCTGCCGGTGTGCACCTGCCCCTGGATGGAACAGTCGCTGCCACCCTACGAGATGCTGCCAGCGGGGATGAACATGGACGAGATGCCGCCAGGGGGGATGAACATGGACGAGATGCCCACGACCACCTGCACAACGGTGCAGGTGGAGGAGGAGCAGCTGCCTCCCCGAGACCACCTGGTATGGTCCTTCTGCACTGCCCTGTATGGCAACATCCTCTGCCTCGGGCTCCTGGCGTTCTTCTTCTCTGTCAAGGTAAGGGACTTGTGGGGGAGGAGGCTGAGGGTAGGGGGCAACGGCGGGGACCCCACTGAGCCCACCCCACTGAGCCCACCCCACTGAGCCCACAGAATGGCTGGCTCCAGGGAGAGCCAAGGACCTCACAAAGCTTCAGTTCAGGGGTGTCCAGTGAACCTCACAAGCTACAGACCAGAGGGTTTCCCATGGAACCCACAGAGCCCCTCTCCATGGAGCCCTGGCCCCACAACGTCCTGGAGTACCCCTGGTGTTTTGGGGGGATTCAGTCCAGGGGTGGCACCTCCAACCCCTCTCACACCCCCCTACAGCCTTGAGCCCCCCGCCCTCCCGACCCCACTGACTCTCCCCTCTGCCTTCCCACAGTCCAGGGACCGCAAAATGCTGGGTGACCACAGTGGGGCCCTGAGCTACGGCTCCACGGCCAAGTGCCTGAACATCACGGCCCTGGTAGTCAACATCATCGTCATCGTGATCACCATCGTCATCGTGGTCTTGGTGGTGAAATCCTACTCCTACCACCCCTACCACCCTTACTACCCTTAGCACCTCCTTGCTCCATGGGCAGTGAGCACTCCTCACCCCTCAGGGCCAGGGGGTGCCCGCTGGGGTCCTGTGCCACTTTCCTCTCTGCTCAAAACTTTTCTTGAGCCCTTGCTGATGCTGGAAGTGCCTGGGGATGGACACCCCTCCTGAGCACCCCTAAAAGGGTTGTGACCTCTTTGCTGCTTTGCTCTGCGTTTGGAGCCCCAGCTGACTCAAAACAATCCCCGGGAGAAGTATTGTTTTTGGAGAAAACCTGGTTTAAATAAAGATTTCTTTCACTTTTGCCCCGGCTCGGTTTCATGTTGGCAGGAAGAGGCTTAGGGTCCCCACCACCGCAGCGTGGCTGGCTGAGAAACAACATCGGCCCTTAGAGGTGCCTGGGGGGTGGGAAGGGAAATTATCTCTCATCACAGAAACAATGTTCGCCGACACATCCGGCTCCATGAACCCGGATACTGCACCCATAGGGTCACCCTGAGGGTGGGGGGAGAACCTCACCTGTGCCAGGGTGCCACCCAGAGCACCCACGTCCTCACCGGCCCTCAGGGAGGGCTGGGAGCAAGCAGAGCTGAGGACCAGCTGGACTGGGGGAGGCGGGATGTGCCAAGGGCTTTGAGCGGGATGAACTGGAATGTGACTGTGGGACAGTGGGGCTGGAGAGGCTCCCAGAGGGAAGGGGCCGGAGGGTGCTGTGGCTCCATCCCGAATGGCCGTGCTGCACGTGTCCAATAGGCTGGATTCCACTGCTCTCACCTGCAGCAAGGTGATCTGGGATACTTTTATGGTTCACAGACAGGAGCCCAGCCGACCTGGGAACAGCTGCCATGGGAAAGCGGGGAACAAATTATGTGCCTTGCTGGCGTGCACAGCTTTTGCTTTCCCTGTGAAAATCTCTTCACCTCAGCACACCAATTTCCTCATGATTACCTCCCCATTCCCTCCCCACCCTGCGGGGCAGGAGGGGCGGGGAGCCGTGCTCGGTGGAAGCCACATCCTGCGGGGGGGGGGAGGGGGGGGGAGCTGTGCTTGGTGAAGCCACACCGAGTACCAGCCCTCCCCGTCCCCTCACTGGGAGAGCTGGCAGGGAAGCGGGCAGCGATCCTCGCGCCTCCGGCCGCCGCACGTGCCGCTCACTGTCCCGCCCCGGCGCTGTCCGGAGTGACCCGCACAGGGACCATGGAAAATCCTGGCCCAGGTCCATCTGGCAGAGCTTCAGCTATGCAGCTGTCCTGGCTTCCCTTTTCCCCTTCGTGCTCCTCGCTCTGGGCAGACCCTGGTCCTCGGGGCTGGGGCCCTGCAAGGACGGGAACAAAACCCTGTTTTTCCCTCTCCCCGAGAACTTCGGGCTCCTGCCAAGGCACTGCATTCGTAAGATGTCAGAAATCCCACTCACAAACACAGTGGGTATTTGTTGCAGGATCCCTGGCAATGAGCACCCGGTGAATCACTTTTTTGCTCCGTTTTTTTCCCAGAAAACACGGGCTCCTTGCTGCAAACGGGGACCTGCTGCCTGCCTGGCCCCAGCCCTGGCCTGCCCAAATCCCAGCACATCCCATGGGGACTTGGGACAACACAGGCCATTGCTCTGAGATCCCCTCTTCCTCCTTCTCCCTGTTTTTATCAACAGCTTCCAACACAACCCCAGAGTGTAGCCCAATACAAGCCAGGAAAAAATCAATCCTTTCCCAGCCCAAACCAACCATCAGCAAAACCTTCTTCCAGCCTGTGACCACACCGGGCTGCTGTGGAGAGATCCCTCCAGTCCATCCACTCCAACCTCAAAGTCCTACAGACTTCACTCGGAGTCCCCAAAATCCCCTTGAGTCCCCTCAGAGTCCACAGGGTCCCCCAGAGTTCCCTTGGAGTCCCCAAAGTCTCTTTGAATCCTCCCAAAGTCCCCAAGCGCCCCTGGATTCTCCCAAGTGCTCTCAGAGTCCCCAAGGTCCTTTGGAGACCCCCCAAAATCTCAAAGTCGTTTCAGAGCCCCCAAAACCCTTTAAGCCCCTCCCCCCCCCCGAAGTCCTCAAGTGCCATCAGATTCACTGAGGTCCCCTGGACCCTCACAGGGTCCTCTGAAGCCCCCAGGGTCCCCTCCGAGGCTCTCGAGTCCCTTTAAGCCCCACCGGAACCCCAGAGCTGCCCTGCACCCCCAGCCCACGCGGGAAGGGGGTCCCGGATGGCCGTATCCCCCCCCCGCGCGGGGCGGTGCGGGGCCAATCCCCCGCCCTGGGAGCGCTCCATTCCCGTTCCAGGAGCTCATTCCCGGCCATGGAGCCCCGGCAGGCGGACGTGTGCATCCCACTGCAGTCCTCCGGCTGGGGGTCGGCTCCCCCCGGCCCCCGGGCAGACCCACCACCCCGGGACTATGTGCTCTGGTCGCTGTTCAACGTGCTGCTGTGGTGCGCAGTGGGCGGGCTGGGATGCCTCGGCTTCCCCCCGCTCGTCTACTCCATCAAGGTGAGGGGGGCGACCAGGGACCCGCATCCAACACCCCGCGTTTAGCCCTGATCGGCCCCGGGACACCTCATGCAGACCGACCCCTGGCCAGCTCCTCCCCGGACCCCGCGACTGAGCCTGGCACAGGACCTCCGGCACGTTCCGACCCCCTCCCCGACTCGGGACCCCCTGACTGAGCCCAGCCCGGGATCCCCTACACATCCTGACTCTCTCCCCGACCCAGGACCCCCCAACTCAGCCGGAGAACCCCGATATGTCCCGACCCCCTCCCCGACTCGGGAGCCCCTGACCCAGCCCGACTCAGACCTTTCCATCACCTCGGGACCCCCCAGTCCTGTCCCTCTGACCCAGCCCTCCCTGACATCACTCTGGTCCCCAGATTCCATCTCCCGTCCTGGACCCCAGATCTGGTCTCCCATCTCCAACCCCTTAATTCCACCCTGCCCTGGGACCCCCAGTACTGTGCCAGCCCCCGAGCCTGCACCCCCCAGTGCCGTGACTGCGGGGCAGGTGGAGGAACAGGCAGTGCCCTGTGGCTTCACCCGCTGCCCCGGGGGATATACCCCTGGGGTCTCAGCACAACCCTGCAGCCTCCCCCGGACCGGGTAGGGCCCCCAACCAGTTCCGCCCATTCTGAGTCTGCCATTTACCCCCCAGGCCCGTGACTGCAAGCTACTGGGGGACCTGGAGGGTGCTCGGCGTCACGGCTCCCGCGCCAGGGTGGCAAACATCATCTGCTCCGTGCTGGCAACCCTCATCTTGGTGATCTTCATCATCATTGCCATCATCGCCATCAGCATCCTATACAGGAAGCCCTGACCGCCGCCTGGCCCCCACTCGCGGGGGGCTTCTCCCCCTCCTCCTGCCCCCCAAATGTGCCCACTAGGGGAGCGGAGGCGAAGGGAACGAACCCCGTCTCCTCGCTGCTGCCTCCCGGGTGTCCCCGCACCCTTTTCTCTGCTCTTGTGCTTCCTAGCACCTGTGACACACTTGTCAGTCCCTGCTGCCACCAATAAAGCTCGTCCTGCCAAACCCCCTCGTTGTCACCTCATTCACCGCGGGACAGAGTAGAGGGTCCTCGCAGGTCTTCGTGGGACCCTCCTCCTTCTCTTCCTCCTCCTCCTTTTTCTCCTCCTTCTCTTCCTCCTCCTCCTTGCCATGCCTCCATCCCACCGCAGAGCAGAGTGCTTCCAGCCTAGATCCCAAAGAAGTTCCTTTCCAAAATATGAAGTGTGGCAAAAGAAGAAGATTAAAGACCCTCCGTGTTTTTTGGCCCCGCCCCCTTCCACCCTGTAGCCCCGTCCCCCCCACTGCCAGGGAGCCCCGTGGATGCAGCCCTTCCACCTTTCCCTATAAACTTCCCATTTCATCCACCCGGTGGCCCAAAGGTGCTGCCAAGGAGGGTCTGCCCTGCCCAGCTCATTTGGAGGGTTGGAGGGCCGGGAAGTACCGATGTCAGTGCCGCGGGGGTCCTGGTACCGGGGGTCTCTCTTGGGACGACCCTCAGACGGTGTCGGAGTCACCTCGTGGCTCCATCGCCGCGCAGTGCCCACGCTGGAACCATCCACGCTCCTCATCACAGGCGGGAAAACTGGCTATAAAAAGCCTTCCCAGGCTCGCCATCCCAGCCCTTCTCCCAGCCCGGCCTGTTGGACAACCACATCCCGCAGAGCTGTAATTTCCCGGGTTTATATTTAGCGGAGCAGGGCTATATAAGCGGTGCCCGGCCGTGCTCCCCCCCAGGTTGCTGGAGCCCCGGGAGCCCCTCTCCGTGGCCATGGACACCTCGTACCCGCGGGAGGACGAGCCGCCTCGCAAGCGGGGACCACCCCCCGCCGCCCCCCCACCCCGCGACCACCTCGTCTGGGCCATCTTCAACACCCTCTACATGAATTTCTGCTGCCTGGGCTTCGTGGCGCTCGCCTTCGCCGTCAAGGTACCGGCACCCGGCAGGACCGGAGCGCTTGGGGTCTCCGGGAATCCCTTGCCACCTGGATGTCAAGGGAGGGATTGCCGAGGAGGCACAGAGCACCTGGGATAATTCTGGGCGGGGTGGGGGTGGGGGTGACGGAGCCCAACACCCTCCAGAGGCAGGTGACACTGGCAACTGGTGAATCCTCCCTGCTGTGTTCCTGCCACCTATTATTATGGACATTGTGGGACCCCCTGGATAACCACAGCCCCCTGCCCACACTCCAAGGACCAGCTGCTTCATCCCACAAAGTGCCGTGGGGGCTGTGATGCCCCCAGCCCCCCGGCCCAGCCCTTTGGCAGGAGCAGCTCCAGCTGGACTGGACCAGGTGAAAAGATGGGGGCTGGAGCCAGTGAGGCTCTGGAGGAAGCAGGAGGGGAAATCCCAGCTCCATCTGGACTAGACCAGAACAGAAAGATGGGAGCAAGAAGGAGGTGGTGCCAGTGAGGCTCTGGAAAAAGCAGGAGGGAAAATCCCAGAGGCAAAGGAAGTGGGGCCAGAGGGGAACGAGGAGTGTGTGGAACAGGGGCAGCCTGGGACAGATGGATGGATGCAAGGGGGCTGCAAGGGGGCCAAATCCCTCGAGTGAGGCTGGGAGAGGCAGAGGAGGAGGCTGCAGGAAGGGGGCTGAGGGAAAGGGGTTGCAGGAGGCAGCTGCTGGAAGTGGGTTGAGGGGAAGGGGGCTAAGAGAAAGGGCTGCAGGAGGGGTCTGTCCTCCCGTTGCAGGCGCGGGACCGGAAGGTGTCTGGGGACGTGGAAGCCGCTCGGCATTTCAGCTCCAAGGCCCGGTGCTACAACGCCCTGGCCACGGCGGGCAGCGTGGTGCTGCCACTCCTGCTCGTCGCCCTCGTCGTCACCGGTGTCATCCACCTCTCCAAGCTCGCCCAGGAGTCCGTCGGCTTCTTCACTTACCAGCTCAGCGGGAGCGACGAGGAGGACCAGTGAGGGGGGCGGGGTAAAGGGCTTGTGGAATCTCCTTCGCGTCGCTGGTGGCTCCCCCAAAAAAGGCCACCGCCCCTCTCCGCCACTCCAGGCCATGGCCACCAGCTCTGACACCCACTGGGTTAGGGGGCAGCCCCAGGGGCTTCTCCCCCACCGCTGTGACCCCTCCCTGCCTGGCCTGACCCCGCTCCCGACCACACTTTGGGAAGCAGAGCAGTTATTTTCATTTATCCTGTGGGGTTTTTTTCTCTCTCATTATCTCGTGTGGAGCTCAGCCTCCCTCCAGATTCCGTGATCACTATTTAAACCATTAAACATTTCACACAATGTGAGTTTCTGCCTGTGGAAGGGTGGGGAGGCAAGGTGGATGCCAAAGGAATAAACATAAACAATGATTTTTGGCTCTAACCGGGCTCCTTGCAGGCAGGAGATGCCGCAGTCCCCATGACCACTGCCCACCGGGACCGAGGAGGGGAGGGAGCACAGAAGCTCCTTGGGGACAGGCTGCAGCAAATGGTGTGTCCCCCTCCCAGTGGAAGCTGACACCCTCAAACTCATTGCAGCAACACAGACATTCCCTGCAGGTCCCTGTCCAGGACGGGGTGGGTGAGTGTGGGACGCACCTCCCCTGCTCCCTGCTGTCCCTCCCTGGGCTGGAGACGGTTCATTTTGGCTAAAGGGGACTCAAGGATCCCTTTCTTGCTGCTAAACCCCCTTTGACTAAACCTCGCTCAGTGTGGGGCTTCATCCCAGCCCCATCCAAATCCCAGTCCGGGTGCAGCTCTCCGGACTGGAACCAGAACGAGGGGACGGTGCGTCTCTTTGTCCTGCCAAGAGCTGCAGCTAATTATGGGCTGGTGGCTCTGATGAGGCCGGAGCAGAGAGCCCGAGTAATTACACGGCAGGAGAGTCCCTGCTCCTCCCCTAAGCATTCCCAGATGCCGCGGGGCAGGGAGCGGCCGCGGGGCTTTGTATCGACGCCGCCAAGATTCCCGGGGTTGGTTTGGCGAGGACAGACCCCGCGGGGCCCTGCTTCCACCCAGGGCTGCTCTGCGCTGAGCCCCGGCCACGGGGGAGGCAGGAGAGAGGATGCTGTGGGGCACCATAACCCCCCCCGTACAGGCACAGCTCTTCCCTGGGGTTTCTGGGACACCAAAAATGCCCTGAGCAAACCTACAGCAGCATTTTGCTCTCCCCGAGGCTGCTCAGGCCTGGAACAACACTGCTTCATGTCACCATCTGACATGAAAACATCATGGATCACTGATGTCCAGGCTTCCTGCAGCCCTTCAGATGCCAAGTTAGAAAGGATTTAACTCCAAAGCTGCTTGACAAGAACGGGAATAATGTAGATGAGGGGTTTGAAAACACGGTAGGGATGTTATACACCAAATAACTCAACAGGAAAGGAGATCTGTGATGCCCACACAGGGCTAAAAGGCTTTTGGCTGTGTATTTTGGCCTAATATCAGTGCCAAAACACCACTCATCTGGTGAAGCAGCAGTGGCTGAGGCTCCACAACCCTTTGAGCACACAGAGAAATGTGAGGGGAAGGCAAGGGCAGTACAGGGGCAGTATGTGCTGGAGGAGCTGGAGTCAGGGTCACAGATCCATTCAGGAAGGGGCTTCCTTACAAATGCAGATATGGAGAGCACAAACAACTCCTGGGTGTTTAGAAAACTCATTTGAAATGGTCATTTTCAGGCTTGATTTCATCTGTGCCAAGTGAGAGAACCTGGAGGTGTGCGAAGGGGATTCTGGGGCTCAGTGCCCCCAGAACAGACATGCTGACCCCCTGCCATGGTCACAGCTCTGTGGACATCCCCCCTTCCCGGGAACACAAGGACAGGTGGCACACTCAGTCCTGGGGGGTTAAGGGTTCATGGCACAGCCTGGGACCCCCACTCTGCCCGCTGTTACCTTCCCCCTTTCTCAATATCCCAGATCTGCTGGTCCAGCTGGCAAAACCTGGATCAGCCAAGGCTTAGGTGGTCCTGGAGGGTGACTTCTGGATCCAGCCGGGCACTGTGGGGAAGGAGACACTCTGCCCTGCAACAAAAACACCCCTGTGTGAGATATGGGAATGGTTTCTCCCCAAATTCTTTATCTCAGGGAGCGGAGCCAGGTGCTGCTGCCGTACCCTCCCACAGGGGAAAATGGTGCCCCGACTCCAGTACTGCCTCCAGGGGAGATGCCAGAGGGTCTCTGGAGGTCTCAGTCACTTCCACGCTGATCTCTGCTGTGGTGATGGTGAAATCCAGTTTGTTGCCCAAGTAGGAGATGCCGGAGAGTTTCAGCTTGGTGATGTCGTGGGGAAAGGCAGGATTGAAGCGGAGGCTGGACCTTGTGATCCTGGAAAGGCAGGAGCACGTCAGGGTGGAAACAGCAGGAGCCATGGATGAACAACCTCTGGGGTGTGGCCACCTCTCCAGGCATGGCCACCTTGTGCACCCTGGAGGTGTCTGAAAGTATCCTCAGTGCATCCAAGGATCTCTGGGCAAACCCTGAACACACTGATGGACCATCTGGTGAGGAGCTACAGGGGCCATAATTTCACAGTCCAGCATCCAAAGACACTCCTGTCCCTCTCCAGTTCCACAGTCTGGGCCTGAGCTTTCCTTAAGGTTGGATTTTATACTTTTCTTAATTAAAAAAAAAAAAAAAGGAGAAAAATATATTGTTCTTCTGGAAGAGCTCAGTTCCAGACACCCATCTCAGCTCCCACTCCTGCGGTTTGGAGGGCTGGAAGCACAGCTGTTCGTGCTCCTTCTCCAGAGATAATGGAGCAAACAGCCTGACACTTCCTCCACCCCTGATTCAAAGCCAAACAGCCTGTGTGGGTGTTGGCTCTGGATGAGGAAAAACAACGGTCACTGTTGTCTCCGACCCAAATCTTGGCACACGAGAGCTCTTGACCATCAACTCCAGAATGTTGAGAGGGATTGGAGAGGGCTCGAGGGAGGCTCGAGGGCCTGGAGAGTCCCAGTGCCAGGCAGGATCTGTGCCCTATGATGGGGAAGGGGGGAGCAGGGTCCCTAGGGCTGCACAGTGTTATCCCAACCTCTGGAAATTTGGCCAGAGCCCCAAAGCCCGTGGCTTGTGCCTGTCCCACAAGGGGCCCGACCCGACACACCCTGGGTGCCTGGAGACCTCCCAGCTCGGCCAGAGCCGAGGCTGAGGTTTCCAGCTGGGAATATGGGAGCTCACACCCAGCTCCACCAAGGAATGGGTGGGTTTTCCAGCTGGGAATACGGCAGCTCAAACCCAGCTCCACCAAGGAACTGGTGGGTTTCCCAGCACCTCTGGCCACACACACAGAGTAAAAACACATAGTTAGTGCTGGAAGTTTTCACCGGCAATCAAAAGGCTTGATCCAGCCTCAGTTAAACCAAGAATAGGTTTAAGAGGCGATGGCTTCAGGGTGGAAACCACCAGATACGAGACACAGCTCTGAAATTATATGAACAGCTCCCTGTTTTCCCGAGATATTTTAAAGCTGAGCTGATGCCTGCTCAGCACTTCCCTCCACGGAGGCTCCCAGATCCATGTGTGTGCAGGGGGCCACAGAGGGGGCTGTAGAAGGTGTTTCCTCACCCCATCAAAGGAGAAAAGATGATGTTACAGAAGGTGTTTCCTCACCCTCTCCAAAGGAGATAGGATGATGTTGCAGCTGAGCCAAAGAACAGGCTTAGGGAATAGTATTTTACTTCCCAAATGTGACCCAGATTGAGTCTCTCACCTGTTCCCAATTTTGCTCCAACCAAACAGGGACATTTTAAGGGACAAGCAGGAATTAAATGTGACATAAGAGGCCTCACCTGAACCCTGTGTAGCCGAAGAGGATGGCTTGCAGAAATCCACCCATCCCTGTCAGGAAGTTCACAGCTCCCGAACCATCCGAGTTCTCCACCCAGATCTGCACCAGCACGAGAAAGAAACAACTCAAGAGTTGATCTGGGACAATGCAGGCAGTTTTGTGGGTTTAATATCCCTGTCACACATCTGGGGTGTCACCTACTTGGGAGCAGGTGAGACACAAACCAGAGGGACTTGCAGCCCCACCACTCACCTTGAAGGGCTCTGTGATGTTGCTGAAGCACTTGTACAGTTGGCTCTGGGCTCTCTGCACCTCCTTCAGCTCCAGCCAGCCCACGGCAAACATGCTCTGACAGAGGGGGAAAGGGTCTGTCGCTGCTGCTGGTCACAGTGCAGCAGAGCAGCACCTCCACTGCCTCCATCCCACCCAGAGTGAACACACCCCGCACACATCCCGGCTCTGTGCCATCCACCCTCCCTCAGGCTCTGAAGCAGGTCTGATGAATCCTGCCTGATGGGTCTGGCAGTGACTGTCCTGGATGGAAACACACCTTCCCCCCCGGGGGGAATCCCACCCTGGGTGCTGCCCTCCCCTTACCCAGGTCATGGCAGGCCCAGCCGGGTCGGTGACAGGCTCATATGTCTCCAGGTCGTTCCTCCGGACCTCAGTGCTCATGGGATGCATCAGTGGGAACCCGAGCAGGACCACGTCAGCTTGTTTCACTGGCTCCCCTGGGGAGAGGGGCCAGTCAGACAGCGGGCACTGCCTGGGAATGGTGGCCCAAGGGGCTTGTTGGACCGCAGGCTCTTCACACCTGGGAAGCGGTGGGAACTCTTCTTTCACCATTCCCAACCTGAACCAGTCAGAGTCCTGCTCCTTCCAGGATCAGAAGTGTGACCCACGGCTGTCTCCAAGGGCTGGCCCTGCCTCCCTGCTCACCTGGGCTGTAGCCATCATACTCGGGGTGATATTGCCTCTGTGCATCAAAAGGCACTTTGATTTTCCTGGCACAGTCCTCCCACTCCTCTGGCACTGGGAGCATCAGGTCCCGAGCAACTTCAGCGGCAAAGTTTAAGCTGGAAAAAGGGAGAAACAATGGTTTATGTCAGGGATGGGTGACAATGGGAGGAGAAAGGGGACAGAGGGAGATGATGGAGCTGCAGAAGAAGCTATTGTGGAAGAACAGAGGTCAGAGATTGAGCCGGGGGGTAACACCTTCTGTCATGGAGCCAGGAGCCTGTTCCTCCGGCTGTGGGTGTCTCCAGCTGGCTAATTGCACAGACATCTCATGGAATGCATAGGGAGAAGCCCTGCTGTGAAGGGAGATCCCTCTCAGTCTCACATGGGCACCTAAAGAGTGGCCATGGCCCCACCTACTCCTTCCTCTGACTGCAGGGGGGTGACAGGGAGAGGGGTGTGAGGAGATGGAAGGAGCATCCCCTCGGGAGCCCCACTGCCTCCTGTCCCTGCAGAGTGGGAGAGAAGAGAGCCAGGCAGTGCTTCCAGGAAGCAGAGAGCTGGACAGTGTTTCTAGGAGGCAGAGAGCCCGGCAATGATTCCAGGAGACATTCCACACTTTACCTGCGCCGGGCCACGGCGTTGGTGTAAGCAGAGTTATCGACCTGGTGGTGATACTCGTCTGGGGGCATGACACCTGGGGGGACAGGAGGGGATACCTCACACCCCAGCACACCCAGGGGTCCTGGGCCCCTCCTCAGGGACATGGCTGGAGAAAGGGGACCTTCCTGCCTGCCCATCCTCTGGCAGGATCCCACATGGTCTCAGTGGGATGCTCAATAGAGAACATTCGTGGTGCTGGTGGTGAAGGAGGAACAACCTGGGTCACAGCTTCAGCTGATGGGTGTAGGTACCTCATCCTGAGGGCATCTCCCCACACTTCACAGAAAAGGGAGCCTTCAAGTCATGGAATCCCAGGGTAGACTGCATTGGGAGAGGCCTTAAAACTCATGCAGTTCCACACCCCTGCCATGGGCAGGGACACCTCCCACTAGACCAGGTGACTCTGAACCTCTGCTTTTCACGCCCTTCCCATGGCACAGGTACCTCTGATGTGGTAGAGCTGCTCCTCCTCACTCCACACCATCCTGCTGCACCAGTACTGAGCTACGGCTTCCACCAGCTCCCAGCCTCCATCCTCCTGGAACAGCTTCTGGTCCTGGGGGAGCCAAAGCCAGAGAAAAACAGGGGTAGGAGGGACACTCCACCAGACCCCAAATCAGCAGGAGGTCACAGAGGCTCTGAGGAGATGGAGAGGACAGGAGGGAAAGTCAGAAAACTGGCCTGGATTGAGCCAACAGGGTGCTGAGACACCCACGGGAGCAAGGACCTTGGAGGCAAGGCTGAGGGAGGGACTCTGCGCAGCAGACAGAGCAGAATTCCTCTGGGAAGGGACAGTGACAGTCACCACGTGTCCTGTGGGCCCTGCCACTGGGCCACCCAGGTGGTACAAACTCCCTTTACCTGTGTGGTGCAGTAATACTGCTCAAAGGCCACCAGGACATCCCCGGTGATGTGGATCTCTTGGGCTCCATAGATCTCCTCGGGGCAGACTTCACGGCCAGTGGCTGCACTCTCCCACGGAAACTTGGCTCCCTGCCAGGAGAAAACATCCCTGAGCACATCACCTTAAGGGGCTCCCCTCCTGGGGACAAGGGGCTGGTGACATGCCCTCAGGCCAGTGCCCCTGCCCCACCTTGTAGCCTTGTTCCCGTGCGTTGTGTACGGCTCCTTCCAGCGTGTGGATCCGGTACTCCAGGATGGCTCGGGCAGCTTCAGGGTAAAGCAGCAGGATGTTGGGGAACATCCAGGTGTCCTGCGAGGCAAGGAGGTGGGATTGGCTGGTGGGACACCCGAAGGCTCCCCGCCAGCTTCACCCTTCAGTGGAAGGATGGAGTGTTCTGTATCCCTATTAAAGTATAGTCTTCACCATCCTTATTAAAGGATAGTCTTTTCCATCCCAATGGAAGGATAGAGTTTTCCCCATCCCAATAGAATGATGGCATCTTCTCCATCCCAGCCACTGTGCCAAGCCCCCAGGTTACCAGCCAGCAGGGTCCCCGCTCACCTGGTCCCAGAAGATGTGTCCCCAGTAGTCCTCCCCCCGGGTTCCGTTGGACAAGCCGCCAGGGCTGATGCCATGGAAGACGAATCCCGGGCTGCCCCGGGGTGGGAGGGCACTCAGCAGGTAGTAGAGGCAGCCGTGGAGGGCCTGCTGCAGGGCAGGGGGCCCCTCCAGCTGCACGGAGCAGCCCCGGTACAGCGCGGCCCAGGTGCGGATGTGGGAGCGGTGCAGGGCCCCCGTTGCCACCAGGGACAGCCCCTGCACGTAGCTCCTCTTGGCCTCCTCCTCACTTTCTGCCACGGCCGTCAGGAACTCCCAGCAGCGCTCCTGCTCCTCCCCACCCAGCGTCAGGGAGGGTGGGACGGGCGTCCAGAGCATGTGAACAGTGGGTCGGGGTCCCCCCTCCACCTCGGGAACCAGCGTCTGCCCATAGATGTAGCTGTGGGAGACACGGAGTGGTGGGGCAGGGAGGACTCCCTGTACATCCAACACCCAGAGGGGCCTCCAAGGTGGCAGGCTCCATTCCCAGATGGAAGCTCCCTCATCCCCACTCTTCAGCTCTGCAGCTATCTCATCCCCAGTGTGCAGGATGCTGAGATTCATCAGAGAATCCCAGAATGGTTTGAGTTGGAAGGGACCTTAAAGCCCATCCAGTTCCACCCCCTGCTGTGGGCAGGGACACCTTCCACTAAACCAGGTTGCTCCAAGCCCCGTCCAGCCTGGCCTTGGACACTTCCAGGGATGGGGCAGCCACAGCTTCTCTGAGCAACCTGTGCCAGGGCCTCCCCACCCTTACAGAGAAGGATTGCTTCCCAGTATCCCATCTAAGCCTGCCCTCTTTCAGTGCAAAGCCACAACAAATGGTCTCCAGTCCCAGGAATCTAGTTCTAAACGTCATCTCCTCCAAACTCCCCCTCTTCCCCACTTCTTTGGAATCACATCTGACCCCTAGGGCCTTTGCTGCTCTTACACATCAGTGTAAGGGATAATTCTGGAGTTGCAACTAATAAAAATGTTTCTATGCTTAATTTGAAAGGGGGGGGCTGTTTATACACCTGCCAGGAAAAAGCTGATGTGCAAAAGCCTCCAAGCCACACACCAGTCCAGCCCCACACCACTCACCTTTCCAGCCTCAAACCACCCACCATTCCAGCCCAGCTCCTTACTGCTTACTTCTGCAGTTTAGTCCCCAAGGGAGAGTGGACAGTGTGCCACAGCCCACGGAGGGTGGGCTCAGGGCAGAGACCCCCATCCCCCAGACTCACTGTGCTCCCTGGAAGTCTGGCCCTGGGGTCAGGTCCAGGTCCTGGCTCTGTGGCACGAACGAGGTCTGGAGCTGGATGGTGATGGGCTCTGTGGAGCGATCCAAGCGCTGGATGGTGACACTGAAGGCCATCAGGTGGACCAGGGAGTGGTGGGCATAGAGCTGCTGGGTGGCCACATAACCAGGGGACTGAATTGTGTGGCTGAAGGTCCCTGTAAGCACAGCGAGAGCCTTTGGCACCCCCAGGTCCTGGTGTTCTGTCCCAGGTTCCTATCTCTTCCCTATCTCCTGGTTCCTGCTGGCCTTTCCCAGGTTCAGATCCAGCTGTTTGCCAAACAGCACTGCTGACACTGAGCCTGGCCAAGCTGCTGAGGGATGGTTTGTGCCATTAAACATTTTATCCCAATTTGCTAAGCCTGTCCCCAGCAGGGATTGAGCTACAGCCTGAAAATTACTTATTTTATTGTTATATTACTTACACGTGAAAGGAGCTCATGAATGAAACCTATTACATGAAAGGGGAATTTTTCCAGCTGTTTCAGAAGAGCAACACCCTGAGGTGAATAGAGAACGAGCAGAGGTGACTGCACGGAAGGGAGAATTTAACCTCTGGGGGAGGGTAGGGAAAGAGCCTGGGGGGAGGGTCTGCGCGGCACAATCGGGATGGGGGGATCCTTCCCTGCTCCCAGCTCACCTGTCCGGGTGTTCAGGGCGAAGGTCTGGGCGGGGCTGTCCGTGCCAGGCAGGGCCATGCGCACGCTGAGGGGGCTGGGGACGTCGGCGCGGTGGGTGTCCCCTGCGGCCCCGCTGTACACGCCGCCCACGTGCAGGATGTCGCGGAACACACGGGTGCCCAGGTAGGCGTTCGTCACTGTGGGCAGCAGCCGCGGGTCCGCGGGCAGCGCTGGGGCCGTGAACACCGCGGGGTCCCCCTCGGCCATCGCTGCCAACTCCACCTATGGAGCACGGCGGGGACAGGGGGTGAGGGGACAAAGCGCCCGGCACCCCCCGGGACACACCCTGGCCGTCACGAAGGTGCTGCTCACCTGCCCTCGTCCATCTCCCGTCCCTTTTAGTGTCCCCTCTGATCGCCCCCAGCGGTTTTCCTCCATCCCAGCTCCCTCTCCACCCCTTCGCCCCATCCCGGCATCTCCTCCAGCTCCCCTAAACCCCACAGCCTCACGGGCTTCATCACTTCTCAAGCTTCCTCCTCTTCCTCTTCTGCTACCCTCTCTGTGATGGGATTGCACCAGTTTCTCCCAGTACACACAATCACCTTCCTCTTCTGGCCTCCTCTTCCTCCCCAGTGTTGTTCCATGACACTTTGAAACACTCCGTGTCTCCTGAGTTTCCCCCTTTCCCAGCTCACTGCAACTCTCTGTTCCCCCTCGCTCCTGCATCTCCAGCTCAGCTTCCCGGGGCAGGAGCTTTCTCCTTCACTGATAGATTTACAAATATATTTGTTCCAAATATATATAAAATTAGAGACTAAAGATACGTACAGATATAGAAACGTGTAAACAGCACCTGACAAAAGGGAGCTGCAGCTGGCTCCTAGCAGTGCTGGGCACTGGACTAACACAGGAATGATGAAATGAGGCTCTGAGAGACTCTGGGCTGAGCTGGGAATCCAGCTGGGGTAACATGGGGTCAGGGAAGGCCCCCAGATCACTCCCTGACAGCAGCCAGATGCAGGAGCTTTCAGGCTCAGCTCGGTTTCCTCACTGAGACTGAACTGGGAGGAAAATCCTGCCTTCAGGAAAGTAAAAAACCCCAACCCAGCCCAAGCCCAAGGGTGGGGAAGCGAGGAGGTGGGTCTTGCCTTCTGTCCGGGGCTGAGCTGAGCCCTGGCCGGGAAGGTGGAGGGAGGCAGTTCCAGGGAAGGACAGACGGAAGTTGCCCAACCGAGGGAGAAGGAAGGAAATCGCTTTTTTTCCCCTTAAAAAAAAAAAAAAAAAAAAAAAAAAAAAAAAAAAAGATTAGAAAAATAAACCTCTGCATGCAGGTGCTTGCCCAGCTCAGCTCAGCACCCGTGGCAGGACCGCGGAGGTCCTGGCTCTGCCCCACACCCCGGGAAGGAGGAACTGAAAGAAGAAACCAACTCGGACACTGTAGGATCCAATAGATGCCTGAGAAGCGAAGTGGAGAGCCCGGGGGAGCAGCACACTGCTCCCAGCCAGAGCCACACACTTGACCATCCTGGGTCCCCAGCCACGCTCTGACCCTCCTCCTCACCTGTTTTCAGGGGGAGCAGACCTGGACTTTGGCTTTGACCCACTTTTTCCAGTTTCCCTCCTGCCAGCCCTCTATCCCTTCATGGCTTTTCCAGGCACAGCTGTGTCCCAGTGAGCCCCCACCCCGGCTTCCCGCACCCAGGAGTGCCACTGGGATCCAGCTCCATTCCCCAAATCCCTGACCCCCCCGGCAGCTTGAGCAGCATTTCACTGAGTTACTCCCAAAGAGGGGACAAGAAGACATCCATTATTCCCTGGCTGAGCTGCCCTGTGCTCCAGGGCTGCAGCAGAAAGATCCACAGACACAGAATCTCAGAATGGTTTGGGTTGGAAGGGACCTGAAAGGCCATCTCATTCCAAGCCCCTCCATGGGCAGGGACACCTTCCACTAGCCCAGGTAGTTCCAAACCCCGTCCAGCTGGTCCCATTGTGGTGGGTCAGGGATTCAGGGATGGCACCACCGGCCTCTCTGCCCTGGTGCTCACAGGGATTATTTTATTAACCAATCCAGCACTTACCAGATTGACATTACACATCTGTCCTCCGCTGTAAATCCACGGAAAAGCCCCCATGCAACCGGGCCGGGTCAATCCTGTGGCTACCAACACCCCAGGGGTGACTTGAGGAGACCCTGACGAGCAGCAAAGGGCAGAGCCTGAGCAGTTACACCTGCTCTCACCTCTACTCCTTTTGTATCCCAGGATCAAATCCCAGGTGTGCCCCAGCAGGATTCATTCGTCCTTTCACTCGTTCCTCACAACCAGCAGCTGGTCGTGGCACAGGCTGAGTCCAGGGCAGGGGCAGGAATAGCCATCCCTTGGAGAGCAGCCATGGGGGCTCTGCAGAATTGGACCCTGTTCCAGCAGGTGCTGGCACATGGGGACGAGGGGTAACCCCACCAGCACACACCCCTATTCCTTCCCATTATTAGAGGAATAAGGAATTCTAGAAAGTCCTTTCCCACAGAATGGTGTTATGAGCAGTATAAAACTTTAAAAGGCCACAGAAGAGAAGTTCTGCTCCAAAGGAAAAGGTCTGCTCCAAGGGAAGGGGAAGCCTCTGCTCTCCAGCAGAGCAGTGTCCCCCTGTGCTGACTAGGGACAGTTTTTGGCCTCAGAGCCTTGGGCAGTTGGGCGCTGCTGAGGAAAAAAAAAAACAAACTGAAAACAATTAAGGGAAGAAAAATTAAGCGGAGAACAATTTGGGAAAATCTTTTCCACCTCAGGGTGTTCTGCCCTGCGCCCTCGGAGCGCAGCAGGTCCTGCGTGCCGAGAGGTGGCGGAGGGAGGGGGGGTTGGTGGCAGCAGTGACAGTGACAAGCTGAGCAGCTGCAGAGCCAGGAGCAGCGGGATCGCCCTGACAGCGCCATGAGGGTCTTCCAGAGGGGCTCCCAGATCCTGGCGGCTGCACTGCGGACCCCCCGCACCCCCCACGCCCAGCTCAGGTCCCACCCCCCCGAGCACCCGCTCTCTGCTGCTGTGAGTACCCGGGGGGGCTGAAAAGGGGGGGGGACACCCCTACTGGAAGGGCCCAAACCCCCGTGATAGGGACAAATTATTTTTGTTGGGGGTGGAAGCAAAAGGGGAGAGGGAGGCACAGGGGGAAGGTGCCCCCAGGCTCCAGCCCACACCCCCACAGGGGTCCATGCCCTGCTCCCCCCACCCTCAGGCTCCTGCTTCTGTTCAAGCCCCTTTTTAAACCTTTGAGGTTTGGGGCATACACTTAGGGTCCCTCACAGCCCAGGGTGTCCCCCAGGGAGGTGAAGCCAAGGGACAGTGGGACACTGGTGGTCCCTCAGGGGCAGACCTGGGCCCAGTCCCCCCATCCTGGGACACTCAGCCCAAAGCCAGTGTCCCCATGGACAAGGACAGGGGCTGCTGTCACCACAGAGCCTGTAGGTCCCACTCTGGCGACAGTTCCCCCCCCAGTCCAGATCCTCCTGTGCAGGGTGAAACAAGCCGGGAAAAAGGAGCTTTTCACCAAAATCCTGGCTGGTTCCCACTCCACCCCTTGTGTGGGCAGTTTTCCCCCTGCTGCCTTTCCAAGGTTTGCACGAGCCTGGAGATGCTTTTTCCAGCAAAATAAGTGAAAGGAAGGTGCCAGTGCAGGGCGTTGATGCTGTCCTGGTGCACCAGAGAAACGAGGGGCTGCTGCTGGCTGCAGTTCCCAAAGTCATCTGAAAGTCAGGCACAGCTGCCTCTGGAAATGCTGAGGGCCCTGGCCAGAGCCTCAAGGTCAGGCACTGCTCCAGTTTCCTAGTGAATATCATGGCGGGGAAACGTGGAATAAGGGAAACAAGAAGCCTGGAGAGCTTCAGGTCTGTCTGTTGCCAGTGGGAATGGCTGTGCTTCCCCAAGTTCCTCCACAGCCCCACAGCGGGTCCATCCCACGGCCATGGGGCTGGGAAGAGCACAGAGAAGTGAGCTGGGTCCGTGGTGTTGGATGGCACCAGTGCAGCCATCCCAGGAGCCCTGTAAATCAGGGAACAACCATCCCAGGAGCCCCCCCCCAAACATCCCATGGCCCAGCTATCCCACTGATTCCCATTCCTTTTCCCCCTCAGGAGCAAGGCATTGCCTTAGTTGTGATGTTCACCTCGTTCCTGGTGCCCACAGCCTGGGTCCTGGCCAACATAGACCACTACAAGGCCAGGCCGGAGTGAGGAGTGGCAGGAGCAGCCTGTTCCCCACTGAGAGAATCCCGAGGGAAGAGCCCCCGGGACAGACCCTCTCTGGGATGGAACCCTCCAGGCCTATTCATTAAAATTCACTTTTGCATTCAGCACAGTGGCTCCTTGGGTTTGCTTCATCCACAAGTGTGTCCGTAGGGAATGACCTGGAACCCTGTCCTGAAGGCAGCATTCCCTCGCAGCAGGCTCCAGCAAGAAGGGATATTCCCTCTGGAGCCTTTACCTGCTGCAGCTGGAGCACAGCACAGGGCAGGCACCTAGTCACCTCTTCCAGCACAAGCAAGGAAGCAAAGCCAAGGTGAATTCCTGTTGGGAAGTGACATTAAAAGGGTCCCACAGAAACCTGACTGCCCCCCTCTCCCTGCAAAGGGCCTTTGTGCCCACCACATCCCAAATTATCTGTCAGGGAAGCAGCCAGCACATGAGAAAGGTCGGGTAGCAAAAGGCACTTCCAGATATCTTGGAGAAACCTCTGAAGCTGTCAGAAATCCACAGATCTCCAATCCCAGGAACTGCTCAGAGCTTCGCAGCCAGGTGAATGCTCCCACAGCACAAGGGCTGTTGGAATCCTCCTGAGAGAAGCTGTTAGTGCTTCCCACAGTAACATTCCAGGTGTTTAATGCTGATCTCAAGCAGCAGCAGCCCCACAACTCACTGGCTCAGGTGGAGCTTCCTCCATCCCAACGTGTAGGGACGCGGCCCTGGGAATGAGGGCGAGATCCGACACGGCATTGGGAAGGAGACTGTGCTCCTTTAAAGCCTTTTCCTGTCCCTGACTAGGAAATGAAGGGAACATTTTCCAGAACACTTGTCTCCTCCACACACTCTCCTGAAGTCAACAAAAGTGACAGGAATGAGCGTTGGAAGACAAGATGCAGCAGGAACTGGGAAAGTCAAATCCAGTGGCTGAACTGACAGGGAAAAGGCAGGCACTGGGCACTGAACCCCAACCCTAACCTCCATCCAGGGAGGAATTTTAGCCAGAAGGGCCTGGAAAGCAGCAGTAGAAGGGTGAGCA